TTACAGCTTTATGAATTCATTTAGTTTCAATGTACAGTGGTCAGTTGCAGATAAATTGAGATGGTCCAGAAGAACTAGCATCGTAGCAGTCATGGTGGTTCAGCGACACGTACACCTGGTAGCAATCATGTCCTTAAACTCTTTGTAGGCATAGGAGCCATCTTCTTCAAAGATCATGACGCTCAGGGGGCTGTAGTTGGACGGAACGCACGATGGTCTGGGGACAGAGGAGTCTAGCTTCTCGTAGATAATGTTTTGCACCATGGTGTGGACGGGGGAACCGTAGATGAAGCCCATGGCTCTTGGGCAGATGCCTCTGCAGTACCTGGGGTTGTACTTTGGTGGGAAAACAATCCAGTGATCCAGCTTGAGCTGACTGAATCGCACCCTGAAGTCATACAGGGCACAGTCTGTGGTTGGGAATTCAGAGCTGGATTTAAGCTCGGGCAGCTGCATGTCTAGGCCTTTATCTCCACGCTTGCTCTTCAGAGACGCCCTCCTCCACCTCCTCTTTTCTCCGTGCCTTTGTGCCGATTCGAAAACTTGCTTCTGAAACGTGTCCAACGCAGTGGATGACCATAGATCTGCACTGGAACTCACCAGCGACCTCTGGTGGGCGATTTTGCTTGTGTCATTGAGATATAGAATCAGAGGAGGAGACCTCAGGGTGAATCCAAAAGGAGATCTGAAACCATTGCTCCCAGCTCTTTGCTCCTCAGGACAGGAGATGTTAACAAGAAGGTGGACATTCCTCTTTTGCACTGGTTGAAGAAACAAGGTAACATCCACTTCCACCCAGTTCCTGCGCCGCCTCTTGTGCGCGTTGTCTGTGAGGTTCAGGGTATGGGAGATCCCAGCACACAGCTGGCACTGGTTGGACTGCTCATGCTCCTTTATGCTCAGGTAACACACAGAGCCGACAGCTGCCGGGTTGTTAAGGTTGAAACTGTACAGCAGGGACGACTTCAGGAGCTGCTCTTTCCTTCTTACTTGATCAAGGCTGTAGGACAAATCCTGTGTAAAAGTTTCTGAAAGAGAAGACAAGATCCAGGTACTGCACCAGACTAGATTCACCAACAATGCCTTGAAAAAGTATTCATCACATTACAGCCAGAAACTGATTTGATCAAAATAGTAGTGCATCTGAGAGCACTGCATCTTTTTTTATTTATACATTTTCTACAAATAAATAGTACATTTTTGTTTGGAATTTCAGAGACATGTTGTCAATAGTTCATAGAATAATAGAACAATGTTCATTTTACTCAAACATTTACCTATAAAAAGTAAAATCAGATCATTTCAAGTTGTCCCTTAATTTTTCCACAGCTGTAAATTTCAAAGTGGAACTGGTATTTGCATGGAACCCCTGCAATGATGACTCTAAAAACAGCCACATGGGACCAGTATCTGACATTTTAGATGCTTTCCTCAGTTCAAGAAACTTGAATAAGTCATTACCAGGCCTGAGTAGATATTGACATGGTTCCTCCAGATTGTTTTCATCTGATCATTTCATACTTTTTAAGATTAATTTTCCATAGTTTTCAGCCACTCGCATTTAATTTTGGGAGGGAAGGAAGGAAAGACACACGGAGAGAAATGAAAATGAAGGACCAAACAATGAAGGACACAAAGGAAAAAGAAAGAAAGGACAATGAAAGAAAGCAGTAAGAACACAAGGAGGGAAAGAAGAAGGAATGAGAAAACAGAAAGCATGCAGAGGACGACACAATATGAAAATAATCTTTTATAATAATACTATAGTATTAATTATAAAAAAATGTTAGAGAACCCTTGATCCATATAAAGGTTCTCAAATATTTCAGACCATTTTATTTAAGCAATTGTCCTAATGAGTTTTCACTTTAGGTCTTCAGGCCCAAATCATCACTGTAAAAATCTTATGCCCCAACCTGAAACCTAGAATCATTACATCGCTGCTCACCGTTGTTGCTTTGTGCAGGACATTCATCTTGGGGCTTGATCAGCCTGATGGTGTTGTAAACTTCATCTCCATCAACGCTCCTCTGCATCCTGGTTGACTTCTTGTAAACCTCCGTCAGATATTTCACGTATCTGTGCTCGGGTTTCACCTTTTTCCTCGCGTCCAAGCTCCACCTGGTCCCTCCGTGCTCCGAGAGGGCTTTGAGCAGCGGGGAGAGGATGCTGCTGTACGGGTAGGTCAGGGCGCTCAGGTTGTGCAGAGCATCGGAGGGGCTAACCAGCGGGGGGCTGCACGACGCCAGAATCAGGAGTAACCAACCAACAACCGCTAACATCAGCATTTGTTTTCCCATCATAAACAAGAAAACCGGTCAGACGAAAGCAACAGAGACTCTCTGCGGGGAGAGAGCTCGAGGGAAGCGGAGCAGGTGTCGCCGCAGATCAGCGCGCGCAGGTGTTGCCAATCATCACCTGCGTCAATCAGAAACTTTTCCTTTTTCAAGGAAAAGAAGAAGAGAGCCCGCGGGATTTGAGATATGCATGTACACACAAATTAATAATAACTTTAGCTTAAAAAGACGCCCTTTCTCTGGAATAGCAAACTCCTCCTTCCACTGCGTCATGTTGATCTGTTTATTCTAGCACGAATTATTATTACAGAAATTAATTAAATTTTCACTGTTACTAGAAAAAGGGAAATTATGGGCTTTATTTCCAGCAATGCTGGATGAAAAATATTTCCAGTAAAGCTTTACGTCCACTTTATTGGACTGATGAACAATCGCAATTACATAAAATTAATACGTCACCGTTTTTTTGTTTTGTTTTTATTATTATTATTATTATTATTATTATTATTTTACCTGGCCAATGGGGTTGAATTCTTTCTTTGGTGCATTTACACAAGCTTCCCAGCAGGTGGCAGTGCATTGAGTGTAACATCAAAGTTCATTGAAGTGCCTTTTTATACAGTTTGGATTGCACACTTTATTTTGAAGGGGGAAAAAAAACATAAATAGAATCAGCTTTTAGGATAGTTTCCATATTTTCCTGTAACCAGAAGGGCTTCAGCAAAGTTTCAGCATTTTTATCTGTAAAATAAGTTTAGAGCCATAATCACAAATATACATTGTTTTAATGTATCACATTAAACCCAAACAGAAAGTTTATCACTGTAATAAAATATGGAAAAGTTTAAAGGGTATGAATACCTTTTCTAATTTGTTGAAGTTTCCTTGTGCAGCAGGGAATGCAAGTCAAAACTGAACAAAATTGAATTGTATTTTCCACAAATGCATTAAAAATAAATAAATAATTTAAGAACCTTATAATCTCCTAAACTTTGGTTGCCTAAAACATGTTGCTGATACCAAAGGTTGTGCCACTGTCAGTCAAGATAAACTGTGATTTATTTGCTGTTGTCTCTCCTGATAGAGACTTTGTTGTCAGCTATTCTGTTTAGTCAGCTGGAGCTTTTCTCCTGATGTATATGCTAAAGCATTCCTTACGTTGGGAAATATGAAGAATTTGCAGCTGTGTTGTCTCCACTGATTAGCATTACACCAGATAAGTACATATTTGGTTCGTCATCAAGGCTGTGTGACATAGTCAGAAACACCATAATTTTAAAGTTTTACTTTAGTCACAGAGTCTTGTAACACATTTGTAAAATAGTGCATCTCAGAAAAGATACAGCTAAACTTAGTATTGTTCTTTTGTTGCCATCAGTTTTATCTTTTAGTTTTGTTAAATAATTGTCCAGTTGGCTTTGGACAAGTTTTTATCTCACCCCTCATAGCTGTGACAAGCTGCAGAGAGTATTAACCCTGTTCTACAAATCTGTCAAAGTGCATTGAATTTTGTCTTGCTTTTGAGCTTTGATCTATAACTGAATGATCATCTTTTCTAACCATTGAATCCTTTGACAATGTCAAAGAAAACTTTAAGCTAATCACTTGGTTCAGTATAATATTTATATGAGTGCAAACATCTTTTGTCCAAGCAGAAAAGGCTTTGTTTCCTACTAACTACAAAGAGGACATTGTTCTGCTGCTGTTTTGATAGTGACGACATCATCCGTGTCTCTTTTCATGTCTTCAGAGACTCATTTTCTGGGCCAGCAAAAGAAAAAAAAAAAATCGTACTTTTTCCGTGCACAAAACATAACACATACCCTCTCAAACAAGAAGCAGAAAATCCCTGCTGTAATGGATGTTTGGTCTGAGAATAGAGGAAGGCTCGGTCATTAGAAGAGGGCTAATTGCATTTATTCAAATAAACTGTAAAAATCTAATAATGTTACACTTTAGACAAATTCTTAACTAGAAAATATGAAGAACTACTTTTTAAAGTGCATCACACTTAACTAAAAAAAAAAATCAACAGTTATAAAATACATACAGAATGCATCTATACAAATTTTTAGTTTGCTAAGAAACATGAGAATTTCTATTTCACATTTAAAATGAGTTACTCTGTGGTTTAAACTAATACTATTATCTATATTATTATATTAGTATAGAATTTAAAGCTACTAGCTAGACATTTCTGTAAAATCAACCCATATTATGTTAGATATTGTTTGCCACCGATACATCAGTCAGTATCTATTAGTTTTGCTATTTTATCTAAATTGTTATTTAATAATGACAATTCTATGCTCCCAAAAGCAAGCTTGATCACACATGCCACTGGTGACATCACACAAGGCATAAGCTTAGGAATTAAAGGCTTAGGTAAAATCTCTCCATAACATCACGTAGTCTGGTCGCTGCTTTGCATTAGAATGATTTTCAAGTCCAAGTGACGATTTCTGCAGAAAAGCCGTATCACCACCAACTTGAGCCAGTTGACTTACTCACATAGAGCTCGGCCCCTGTTACCTCCTCCTGGCCTACACCTGCAGCACAGTCCATTACTGCGCTACTAAAGTCAACGCTCCAGGGAAGAAGTTAGATAAATATTATCTCTCCAGTGTGAGAAAGAGAGAGGTCGCCGAGTCAAACTCAAACATGTGAGGTCGAACCCCTCGCCATCTCAGATGCCTCAGAAGATAAGACAGAGAAGAATCAGCAGGTTTTTAATCCAATGTGCTTTCTACAAATTTTGTATTTTGGAAGTCCGTGTTTCATTAGCCTGCTGTGTTTTTATGGTCAGTGTTCATTAGTCAATAAATACAACAACAAAGAAACAGCAGTGCTACAAAATCAAAAGTTACATCTACAGGTATTTTACACATTAGGTTAAAAGAAAAACGTAAACATTACAATTTGTTGAAAATGAGTCATTCGTCGTTAATACTAATAAACAAAAATGATATACTATGCATAAATAGTAAGCTTATCAAACCAGTGATACACTGTACAAAGCTGTACAAGACAGTACACTAGCTGTGGATTGGCTGCGTCAAGGTACACAAAGGTTTTAAATCCACCAAAATGTTTCCACCATGCCTCTTGAAGGGTTTAAAGTCCTTTAAATTATATATCAGACATATATCTGGAGTAAATACAGTTTTGCAGTATAAATCAAAGAGTAATCCAGCCCTTCGCCCCTGCACTTTTTCACCAACGTGAAAGCTGCATGTGCCATGTCTGTCCAGCTCACTGAAGACCAGCTGCAGAAGTGGACAGCCAGACAAATTAGGTTGCATTAATCTATATAGGACATAAGGATAAATAACTTAACTTGAAAAAAATGTTGATTTCAAAACCACAACTCTATCAAGGCGGAGACTATTTGACATATTTGGTGAAATCTAAATCAAAAATAACAATGATGATTCTGGTACAGGTACATCTTGTTGGTTAAAATAAAATCGAATCATGTTTTTGTTTTACCAGCTGTCCATATCTTAACAGTTGTGACATCCCTAGATTCACTTGTGGGCCCCTCTTACCACTCATGAGCAAACCTGCAAGTCTTATGTTTCTTTCCTAAGTGAGGGTGGAACAGTTTGCTGATAGTGTTGAAGCCTCTTGTGTGCTCCTTGTACTCCTCGCCCTCCATCTTCTCTCCGCTCTGCTGAGGTCCTCCCAGTAGGGCCCTGACCTCAGCCGACGCACCTTTCCCCAGGTAGTGAAGCGCCTTCTTGCCGTCATTGTCCCTTTCGCTCACGCTGGCTCCGTAGCGCTGCACGAGAGCAACCATGACCTCAGAGTGACCATGCATGGCTGCAATGTGCAAAGGCGTGTACCCTCCGTGTGCTTTGCTGTTGACATTCACGCAGGTGCCTCTTTTGCTGGAAACATCAATGAGTTTGTGTATGATCTCACAGCTGCCGTCCTTTGCAGCCCAGTGCAAGGCTGTGAAACCTGACATGAAATCCTTCTTCTGTGCTAAGCGTGTGTCCTGCAGCAGCAAAGCATATATTTGTCCCCACAACCCAGCAGCACACTTAACAAGCCACTCATGGGCTATTGGCTCCAAAGGCACAGACTCATCATCAGCCTGTCTGAGGGTCTTGTTTTGGGGCCTCACCAGGGGAGAACCTGGTGCCTGCTTGGCTTCTGTCTGCTTGGATTTCCAACACTGAGGCTCTTTTATTAACTCCCTCTGATGAGATGAGGAGTTGGAAGTTGGAGCTGGGAGTGATGGAACTCGGATGGCTGCTTTGTCAGGGTTTCCATGCTGCTGATGCACCTGGGAGCGTAATCCGTCTCTTGCTCCCGCTGCGGAGTCTCTCTCTGGGGATCTGACTGCTATGACAGCGAACACAGCCCCGGATTTACTCGCTCTGCACGGCTGATCTCGGGAGATATTCAGGACTTTAACCGTGGCCGAATCCGCCGTGGATACAGCAGGCCCGCTTTCCTGCAAACTCTCCACGCAGCTTTTATCATCACTGTAGTAGTTGCTTACACTTGACGAGCGCCGCGCGTTGCTGTTCGCGGTTTGACCGAAAAGGCTCTGATCCATCTCCTCTTTCACAAAGTCCTGGTACCTCTTCCTCACCACCACGAACTTCACCTCGTCGATCTGTCTGACCACCGCGACGCTGTTCACCAGCTTCTTGAACAGCTCTCTATTGTGCTGCTTTTCCGCGGGATCGCCGCTGTTGATGAGGCTCTTGAAATGGTTCACCAGCTCGGAATTTTTCACTTTGCCTCCGCGCTCCAGCAGAAAACACAACACGGCTTCCTGGGTCAGAGCCATGGCTCCGCTTTTCCTACGTAAAATACGACAGCTACAGGTGAGAGATGAGGAGGATAACTGCGCTGCGCGTCCCGCTCCGTCCTCTCTGTTGTCCTCCACCACAACCTGCCGCTTCCGGCGCCTCGCCAAATCTGTCCAGCCCGTTTAATATGCAGACACTCCCCGACCAAAGGCTGTCCAGGGGCTCCTGCAGGGGATCAGCGTCACTATTAAAGAAAAAGAAAAGAAAAGAAAAGAAAAACTACATTGGAGTTCAAACTGTCTAGTAGAGTATAACAAGTTTTCCCTAATTATTACATTATTTTGTTGACTTTGTATATCATCTGTTTGTGTTTTAAAATACCCGAGTAACACACTGCCCCATCCCCCTTTTTTACATTCTTTTGGACTAGTATTTTGCATTAAATAATTTAAACATGCAAAAATGACTGAATAGATACCGTCTTAGTTTGAATAAAGCAGCAACGCTTTTTTGCATCCTTTTTGACTTTTGATAAAGACTGACATTAAGAGTCTAGATTAAAACCAGGATGTCTTCATGTTCGAAAGGGAACTAATATCCGTATTTTAGCAGCATTATTAACTGTGACCTATAGAGTTAAGATGAAAGAACAACAACAAACATCAACAACAACAAAAACACACAAACACAAGCTATTTGGTCCTACTGCTTTTGTTACATGCCAAACCTAAAATATTACAGAGCAAACAATTCAACATACTAACAAACTAACAAACTTACGGTAGTTACAAAAGCGGAAAATAATAATAAAAAAAAGCAAAAATAATAATGGAAAGATAATAATAAAAAATAAATTTAAACTTAAATGAAAATAAAAAAACCGAGTGATTCGTCAAATATACTTTGTTTCAGGACATTTCTGATTCACAATTAAAACAAGGTCTGAATAAACTTGAAATAAAGAAACTGCTGGAACCCTCTAAGGATGGGGTGCTAAAAATCAAGATGTTGGGAAGAATATTGAATGATGTTTCATTTTAATTGCCCACACAGAACCCCACGAAATCACGTTGTTTCGTGGCGATAAATTAGTCTTAGGCAAGTGAATAATATGTCATTCATTTATTTATATTGATGTTCATTTTTGTCCTTAACTTCTATTCCCGGTCCCATCAATCTTTATGAAAGAACAGCTTTACAAAACTCCTGAAATCCTCTCTCTACGTTTGGTTTTGGTGTTGTGCTCCCTCCCTCCCCGGCCATCTGGTCACCCTTTCAAAACGCGAAGTGCCCCAGAAGAAAAATAACGACGTAATAATTTTAGAAACCCAAAAATAAAACAAAGACCCAATTCTATCACAAAGGATTAAACACATCTAAGTATTGCACATGGTGTGTGAGGAGGACTCTCGGAGAAGTGAAGCAGGCGGGCAGTGTGCTGTAATGCCGCCCTCCTGCACAGAGGGCGTGTTGCCTTGAATCAGCCCTGAGCGGAGAGCGTGAGGGGAGCAGGTCTGGATGAAGGCTGATTATTATTCCTGGACTCAGACACTTGAGATGATGGCGGCCGATGAGGTAAGATGTTTTTCTCTCTCTCTCTCTCTCTGTCTGTCTTTAAGTGCGATGTCTGCAGTGACTGCTGATTACAAATACCAAAAGGCTGCGCAGTGACGGAATGCTGCTGCCTGCATGATGCTGAGAAAGCTCTGTGGTTAATGAATCAGGATGAAGACGTCATTACACGGCTGGACATGCTTCTTTTTTGGAGCAGTCTCTCTCTCTTTCTCTCTAGAAAAAAAAAAAAAAAGCCTACCTAAGCACCAAAATGTGCTGCTTGCATTAAAGCAGCTCCCAGGATGAGCATCTAATACTTCTGACAGGTGCTGAATGACCAGGGCAGAGGGTTAGTTTGAATGAAACAGGACAGTGGGCTGTAAGAGGCTGAGTTAAGAGGATAAAGACAAGCATAAGCCTCTTTGTGTAGTGATGTTAACTACCTCATTAGGACTTATGGCTTTTCTTTGCAAAAAAAAAAAAAAAAAACAATTCTACTTTGAGCACATGCTCGCAATGTTTAGGAATATAATATGCATATTGTTATCAAAACGTAATGTAATTCTGATTTGTTTTCTGTCAAAAAAAAAAAGTTGCATTGTGAATATTGCCAGTAGTTTTTGTTTTAATGTCATTTGGGGTTGTGGGTACCAGGGTAGCCATCAGCTTGGATGTCCTCTGTGGAATAACCTCCAGATAAAGAGCTCTTTGTCTCTCTATGAGAGAGGGAGGCTGAAAAGGAAGGCTGCTGTGTTTAACACATATTGCCCCTCATGTTGAGCCTTTTTGCAAGATGCCAAGATTCCTCCCCCACCCCCTGGGTGGATCCAGTGTTGAAGGAGAAACTTCTGAACATACCGACTGAATAAAAGGTTTTAAAAGCAGGGATTTCTCAAGTATTTCTTCACGCCGTTTCACAGTTTAAAGTCCGTTAACAGAGATACCAGGATAAGTGCTTGACTGTTTCTGGCTGTCAAGTAGCATAGTGCACCTCCCCACCTCCACTTGTTGCTGGTCATCTGGCTGAAAGATGGCCGCTCCATTCTCCTCTTACTAACAGAACATTCTACTTAAAGGGTTTTGGAAATAGTTGGCACAAACAGTACTAATATACTGACTTATTTTGTTTCTCCGCATACGGTTACTAAGAATGAAGAAATGCGAAGCCTGGAGCTCAGTGGCCAAGTGGGGTTCAACAGCCTTCCTCATCAAGTGGTCAGGAAGTTAGTTGCTCAGGGATTTTGTTTCAACATCCTCTGTGTAGGTAGGTCTCAGCACAGCACGAGTTCACTAGCTATGACGTCGATCATTTGGATGAAGTCTTCATAGTTTGCTTTTTTGTGTCTAAGGTGAAACAGGAATAGGCAAATCCACCCTGATCAACACGCTTTTCAACACGACATTTGAAAACGAGGAAGCTGATCATTATGAGCAAGAAGTGAAGCTGCGTTCGCAGACGTACGAGCTGCAGGAGCACACTGTCAAACTGAAGCTGACCATTGTGCACACTGTAGGCTTTGGAGACCAAATCAACAAGGATGAAAGGTGAAGAACGGCAGTGCATGCTGTGGCTTTTATTTATTTATTTTTTCCAACCCTGCTGTTTAGATGATAAAATTTAAAACAAAGCATCTGACTTTGCACCAAATTTGGAACTTTTTCTTATCCAGATTTATTTTTGTTGACATGCACAATAACACAATAGATTCAATATTTGAATTGTTGACTTAGAAGAAGAATACCCCGCTGCCTCCCACATCAGCGGTGACTCAGTAAAAAAGATCGTTTTTCTTCAACATGCATCACACAGGACCTCACATGGCTTGGAACAGATTACAGAAACACAATAGCAACTGTTTTATCCTTAAGTCATAAAAAGACTTAAAGGTCTTTATTTACAAAGTAGCTATGTGCCTTGTTGAAAGTATTATCACCATTATTAGCTCCCTTTTTTTTGCGTCTTTGTCACACCGGCACATTTTTCTTATGACCCATGAATTAAAGTGTCCCGCAGCTGCATGTTATCATTTTTATTGCAGAAAAAGAAATAAGGACTTATTCGGTTTTCTCAAGTCCTTAAAATCCCCACACTTGGAGATTCAAAAACAATTTCCATCCAAATGCTGTCACTCTAAGAAACATTTGAATGTGCATTGTATTCTGTTTAAATTACTGACTACCACATATTTATATGTTTTCCTACAAATATTTCAGTTTATTTAAGAGGTTTTCCTGATGTCTTCTGACCCCATATGTCATGTTTTTAATGCTTCTCAGACAGCATAGAAGTATATTGAATGATGACAGTAAAATAGTTTTTATAATATTGAAGTTTTGTGAAAGAAATTACTAGAAATGCCTCATTGTGAGATCAGTGTCCGCCACTAATTCCCCTCCCCCTTCATGCTGTCCAGTAGATCTTTAGATTAAGGAGATTGTGTTGGCATGTAAGCTGGGGAGAAAATATGGCACAGATTCAGTCTGACATTTTTGGCAGACAACAGAATCTTTACCCTGGAAACTAATAGATCAGTAAGAAAGCATAAGAAATCTGCTTAAAACGTACAAAAATATCTAGTTGATGTTTTTATATCTGGTTTCGCAGCTGCAAACCCATTCTTGACTACATCGAAGCCCAGTTTGAGAAATATCTGGAAGAGGAGCTAAAAATAAAGCGTTCCCTCTCCAACTACGACGACACCAGAGTCCACATCTGCCTGTATTTCATCGCTCCCACAGGGCACACCCTGAAATCTCTTGATCTGGTTACGATGAAGAAGCTGGACAGCAAAGTGAGACGATGAAAGCCCATTCCAGAATGTTTCCTCGGCTCCTTTTTTTGAGGCTCATCTTGTCGTTTCTCTGTTCAGGTCAACATCATTCCCGTTATTGCAAAGGCAGACATCATGTCAAAGACCGACCTGGGAAACTTAAAGAAGAAGATCATGAACGAGCTGCAGAGCTACGGTGTGCAGATATATCAGTTTCCGAATGAGGATGAGGAAGTTGGAGAGATAAACTCCTCCTTAAATGTGAGTCTTAGAAACAGTGACTCACATGGTACAGTACGTGTGACTTGTTTCATTTTAGGGAAATATTTGCACAATGAACAATATTTTTCACTTTTCAGTCTTATTTTGGATATTTAGTAAAATGACTGAACACATTTTGACTAAGAACTGATTAAACAGTAGCTTTAGTTAACCTAATAATCTATTATTTTGGGATGCTAAAAAAAAAAGGTTGATTCCTAAGACTTGTCCTGATTTTTGTGGTGCTTAGAACCTTGTTAAACATTGGATATGATTTGGCTAAAATATGTTGCCTCTATGTTACGGTCCATATAAATTAAAGTGCCTGTCTTCAACATATGCTTCATTTCTGATGACATCATTTTTAAGCTTTTAACAGGCACAAATGAGACTATATAATTAAATGCACAAGTATCATGACGCTGCATTTTACTAAAACATTACAAACATTGAAAAAGCAGTACAAAGGTTATGTTGCCTTGCAAAAGCACTCAACTTATTGAAGTTTAACCAAAAGGTAACAATGTAACAGTGGAAACAAAAAACGTTCATGCTTAAAAGCCTGTTGCCACTGCAAGAGCTACTCAAGTTCAGCTTTTTTCTTTTTCTTTAATTCAGTATACTCTGAAGGTATCACTTGCTACAAATATTCTATGAATTTAGATTTTAAATATCTGTTGCTTAATATATATTTTTGTTGTCCACTCACTCCAGAGCAAATGTTTATGACCACCAACAGCAGCTTTACAATTTTGAGGAGCCCATCAAACAGACTATTAGGTGTTTTCCTAACACTGCCCTCGTGTGGGAGCAACAGTGAATGACGTACCTTTTCACAATGCACTGTTTGCCTTGAGAACATTTCTACGATTTATCTGGTCTGTAGCATACATTCAGAGATTTGTTTCTCAATGTAGTCAATACAAATGGAACTGTGTTAACACTTAGCCGACTACATTAGCCTGTTTGTGCCTAGCGTATTTTTAGCATCACACCAACTCTACTGTGATAAATATTTACAGATTTTAAAGGTCTTCTCTTCCTCTCTCTGTGTTACAGGCTCGCCTTCCCTTTGCTGTCGTTGGAAGCACGGAGGATGTTAAAATCGGGAACAGAGTGGTGAAAGCGAGGTCGTACCCCTGGGGAGCTGTACAGGGTGATTCTGCTGTTATTATGCAACAAAATCTTGTCACAATCAGTGTACCAGATAGAGGGATGTTTGCAGCTTTTAAAAACTGAGCAGCCAGCACGGTTCTTTCTTGTTTGTCCAGTGGAAAACGAAGAGCACTGCGACTTTGTCCATCTGAGAGAGATGCTTCTGCGCGTTAACATGGATGATCTCCGGGAGCAAACGCACTCTCATCACTACGAACTCTATCGCCGCTGCAAGCTACAAGAGATGGGCTTCAAGGACACTGACCCTGACAGCCAGTCGTTCAGGTGAAACGAGGGAACTTCAGAGCGTTTCACTGAGGGGAATGTGTTATAAAACAGCATCTGATTTATTCCACGTGATGGAGATCCGTCTGCATAATCTAACGAGAGCATCCCACTGATTTATCACTATCTCACAAACAAAATGTTAATGCCAGTTAGGCGTACATGTTTTAAAGTACGTTATTTAGATTTGTTGCCATGTTAGACAAAAATAAAAAACGCTGTGCCTACACATCTTTGTTTTCATTCACAACTCGACGCCAGGCTGCATTAGTTGAAACCCCAGTAGATCCATGAAGGGGTTCCGTGAAAAAGTATTTTCCCTTCGTCAGATTTCTTTTGTTTTTGCTTTTTATTTGTGAAATTCAAATATTTAAGATCATCAAAGCAAACTTTTAATTTCAGACAAAGATAAGGCTTTTTACTAAAAGGCTGCGTAAACCAACATAGCAATTTCTGATGAAACAATTTGCTTCCTGAACCTGAACACTGTTTGGCACCCCTTAGTGACAAGAGCTGGCATTAAACTTTTGCTAAAGCTTTCAGTGAGACTTTTACAAGAATGCTGGATATTGTTTGACAAATCTTGACCCGTTCTTTGCAAAATTGTTTTATTTTATATGTAGGGAAGGCCTTCAAACATGGTCTGATTGAGGTCATTCTGTACGGCATCTCAATTGGATTTACTTTCAAAATTTGACAAGGTCAATCTAAAATTTTTAATTTTTGTTGTTTTGTGTGATTCCAAAGTAGTTTTACAAAGCTGTGCTTTGCATCATTTTCCTTCTGGATAACCTGAGTATGTTTGAATTTAAGGCCAAGAACTGATGGATGGACATTTTCTTTGCAGATCAGATTTTCTGCAAGTCGTACAGGTTCTTTAGGTTTTCATCCACTACCGCCAACATGTTTGAAAAGTATCATATTCATATCCTGAATTTCTGTGTTCATTTCATTCAAGGCTTTAGAATATTTTCTCAAAAGCCTTGAAAATCATCAAGCAGTTTTTTTGTTATCACACGTCAGGCACTTGACTGAGACAATTGAGGTTCTTGTTGGACTCTTGGAGTAATTTTGGTTGGCAGGCCATTCATGTTTCTTGTTTTCTCAATGTTGGGAGATGATTCTTCTCACTGTGGGTCACTGGAGTCATAAAGTCTTGAAAATGACATTGTAATCTTTTGTTGAATGTCAATAAATTCTCTTCAGGTTTTTTAGATAATTTAGATCATTGTTTTTAATACTTTAGCCTCCAAAAGCAGCAGAACGTGAAATCACTGTCACTAACTGCATTTTGTTTTTACTCAGGTATATTTGTGTGCTACTACGATTAGTTTGATTACCTGAAAATTGCCAGCATGGGCATAAAAAAAAAAAAAAAAAGAAAAAATTACTTTTGTTTTACATTACATTAAATTACTTCTTTCATTACAATGAGCTAACTAAGCTGAGTATGAAATCAGAAACCGCTGCTACAGCTGGCTCACAGCGTCACATCTTGTTCATAGGCTGTGTTTGTGTTCTCCAGTCTGCAGGAGATGTATGAAGCCAAAAGAAGGGAGTTCCTCAAAGAGCTGCAGCACAGAGAGGAATCAATGAGACAGATGTTTGTTAACAAAGTGAAGGAAACGGAAGCCGAGCTGAAAGAAAAGGAAAAAGAGGTGAGGAGCGAACATGTAACGAGACACGACGCAAATAAATGAAGGAGCTGGGGTGTGTCTCATGTAGAGCTTTCTGCTTCTCTGTTCCTCAGCTTCACGAGAGATTCGAAGTGCTGAAGCGCATGCACCAGGAAGAAAAGAGGAATCTGGAGGAGAAAAGGCGAGAACTGGAAGAAGAGATGAATGCCTTCAACAGGAGGAAGGTAGCAGCTGAAACGCTGATGGGACAAGCGCTGCAGGGATGTTCACAGCAGCCGCTCAAGAAGGAAAAGGACAAAAAGAAGTGAGTCTGTTTTAATTTAGTACAAATTATAATTGGAATATCTGTTAAAAGTCCTGAATCGTTACTCATCTTTATGATTTGCTTCCAATGAACCTTATACTTTGTTTGATCTTTAAAGATGATATTTTAGCTTAGTTCAGTTCAGTCACGATAGAAAAACAATACAAATTTTTTGCACAGCGCTGTATGGCTTTTAGTGTGTCACTTGATGCCATCATACTGTGACATTAATTCCTTAAACTGTTTGCTGAATTTCAAATATTTAAATTATTTTCACAAGGCATACATACAATGCATACTGGCCAGGTTCGTCTACGCTGACCTAATTGGATGGGGACGGGGGGGAAATAAAGCTACCATGCTATCCTCCTGGAGGCCATTTTGACTCATAAAGTGATCCAGGGACATATTTAGACTGACACGGTATGCAGACGCTGTAGGAAGGGTCACAGTTTGCATGACACAGCCTGATGCTTCTGTCTCCGCAGGCCGACCTGCCAGACTGTCTCTCAGGCAAGGGCATTTGTGTTTACATTTGACTTGTCTCAGCAGTGCTCACGCCATGTGCAGCACAGATGATACCCAGACATCCTACATGGAGCTGGCATCAGTTTTTTTCAGGTGGAAGCATTACATGCCAGGGTGAATTATTAATGCACAAACCGCAGATACTAGAGACTGGAATGAGCCAAACAACAACAACATCAACAACAACAGAAAAATATGTCAAAAAGGTTTGCAAACAGAAGCAGTGGGTGGTGTACAATGAAATGAAAACAAAATGTCCAAGATTCAGATTTTTCAAAAGCAAGATTAATGTTTTTTTATGAAAATGATTCAATACCTTCTTGAAATTGATAAATTTATGTTTTCTAAGACTACTATGCCTTATTGCTCAACGATGGTGTTATGACTATAAGCTTTTTCAAGATGATAAACTTCAACAGCAAACTCTTAGACCAGAGAAAACACAGAAAACACAGAAAATCCAGAATACTTCAGTTTGATGTTACATGTCTACAATGACAGACAGCTGAGCTATTTTAAAGCTTTTCCCACATTTTTAGCTGAAACACGAATGATTATGGGAAACGTATATGGTAAGGATATCAATAATTCAGCAGAAAATCTGGAAACGTTTAAGCCTAAACATTGCTGCTCTTCATTTTGAGTAATGCTGTTATGGATTCTTATTTTTAATTAATGCTAAACTTAATATTTTTCTTTTGGGATTTTTTTCCTCTTTGTTCTTTTTTCCTTTTTAGTTGAAATAAAGGTGAGAACATCCAAGCAAAAATTCAGCTACCATCAGTGTAGGGAAAACAGGCTTTTTTTCTATCAGCACTAATAATAATAATAATAATAATAATAATAATAATAATAATAATAATAATAATAATAATAATAATAATAATAATAATATAAAATGTGTGCTAGAAGCTGTAGAGTTCTTGTTTATCAAAATGTTGCTCAGTGTCACTGACTGGTTCCTAATGTTAACTCTAATATAACATGTACGGATTATTTTTTTATAACATATAACTTTTTTGTATTCTTACTATGAGTGTGTTTTTTTTACCTCCAGCTCTGCTATTAATCTCTTGTTCTCAGTGAGAAAACTGGAGAACTTTGAAAGATGACTCTATTCCTGCTTCTGTCACATTTCTAATATTGAGAGCAATTTTCTATTGTTAACATTTAGTTGTTTTTTTTTTTTTTCATTTATTTTACTTGTTTGGATTATCATAAAGAGCAGAAAGCTATGTTTTGGAAACCAAGGCTCATAATCTAAATGAAACAGAAATAGAGGATTACAGATGGTCTTGAACTTCTATCTCATCATCATCTCATTGTCTTTCTAATGATTGAAACATTTAAAATCATCCGTTGTCTTCACTCATGATGCTCATGGAAAACAGCAGCCACTTTATGCTTCCTCTCTGACTCCTGTTTTCACTGAACATAATAACAAAGAGCTTTTTTTATCTGTTACTAAAAACTCAGAAAGAATGTTGTTTTCTAATTTAAAATAAATAATGTTGTTTTTGTCTTTCCATTTGTAGCTTCTTTAGTCTCCCCTCTGCGTGCTCCTTAAGCTCAGGAAGGAACCTGAATTAGAAGACTTTCTACCGCATGAGAACGTCAGACTAACAATCAAGTGTTTTTATTTTTACAACGTTTAATGAAGATTTTATAGAACTAAAACAAGCTTCAAGGTGAGTCAACCTGATGTCTTCAATGTCATCTACAACTTTATCTGCACACCTTTAAACAACGTGCTGTGGCATTGTCTCTGCATGGCTCCTGAACTTGATTCCTGCAAGTACTAAGACGTCTGCTTCGCCAAAATGTGTTTTTGTGCTACAGTGCCTTGCAAAAGTGTTCACACTTTTTGAATTTTTCCAAATATTGACTATGTTGCAACCACTAACTTCTGTATCTTTTATTATGCTATTATGTTATATAAAAGAGCAACGCAAAGTAGTACATGGTTGTGCAGTGGAACAGAAATTACGCATGGTTTTCAAATTTTATTTATTTATTTTTTTTTCACAAAGAAATATCTGAAAGGTGTGGTGTGCATCTGTATTTAGCTCTTTTAAGGTCAATCCATTCTGAAATAGCTTTGTGCCGCTATCACGGCCATGAGTTTTATGTGGTATGGCTTCTTTGCAGATCTAAAAATCAAAATTTTAAACCTGTTCAAACCCAATCAGAATGGATATAGAACATCCTGTATGCTGTGTTCCTTTGTCTGCAAAAGGATCTTTGATATTAACTAATGTTCTCTAAAAAAAATCAAGCACCGTAGTACCATATTCAGTGAGATGGTGTTAGACATGGGTCGGACTCTTTAGATAATCATGACTTCTGAAGGAATTGGTTGCAGTAAATTTTATTAAGAAATACTAGAGTAAAGAAACACATGCAGCACTTTATATTTTTTTTTAAATAAAACTCTGAAACCATGTATCATTTTCCTTAAACTTTAGAATCATGTATTATTTTGTGTTGATCTATCACATAAAATCTAATTTAAGTTTGTGGTTGTAACATGACAATATAATGAAAACTGAATATTTTTGCAAGACACATTTAATGTGTAATCATCCTGTTCTTGCCTTGTATTGCTTGTAAATGGAATGTTAAAAAATTCACTGTGAAATATATAATACCCTCATGTGCTAATGCTGTCAAAGGACTTCTTATTAGTAGTCATGTTATGATTTAGAAGCACTTTAAATGAACTGTAGTTCAGAAACTATATTGATATATATTTAAAACAATGAATGGTGTCTTGCTACTCAGACATTTATATTCTTATATAATTTCCTAAAGATGTTTATGTAATATGAATCACTTTAAACTACAAAAGTTGAGTATGCTGTTATAACATAAAAAGACTGGATTTGAATAAATTCAGGAAATCTCCTAATGTCAACAAATCCTGATGCCAGATTTCTGTTGGCTTGACCACTTCCAGATTAGAAGTGTGATATAATAAAGTTTTGTCTTTTGAAATGCATTCGCTTCTTCAAATAGTTGTGATTTCTGGTTAAAAAGAGCAGTGAAAAGAACAAAATCTGGCTTCTCCTGGCTCCTTCCAGATTGTTCTGGAAACTGCAGTAGCCTATATTTCCGGGTAAATGGTGGTGGTGGTGGGCGTGGGGGGGGGGGGGGGTTTGTTCCTGTTGGCCCAAAAAAAGGTTTTTTTTCAAATTTTTTTTAGGCATTCCCGGAA